CTGGAGATTAACGGTATGTTCATTTTTAACAAAAAGCAATCGTTCGGTAGTTGTTGAATATTTTTTAGAAGGATCATAATAGAAGGTACAAATCAGTACCGAGATGTAACACTATAACGTAGCCGTCCTAAACATTTCGGGTATGTTTGGAGCTAAAAGTCTCGCTCATAGAACATGTTCACTAAATGTCAAATCGAGTGTCTACTGTTACAGAAAGGAGTGAAACAAAACAAGCATGCTATAAGCTGCGTGATCATCCAGAGTAAATGGGCAACATGAACATTAGCTACTTGCCCAGGATTCGTTGAGAACCTGAGCCGATTGTATTTTTGAAAGTAGTCGTGGAAGAAGAAAGGAAAGTAAAAGTATAAAATGCGTGATTGGGAAAAAATTTAGGACGATGCAGAACAGAAGGTATCTGAATTTTGCATAACTCAGGAAACGCGTAGAAATTGCAGATTTTCGCTAAGCTTCACCAACCCAATAGAACGAAAGACATGAATGGGAAGTTAAGACCCAGTACGATGACTGGCACTATTTTACATCAGAGAAATCGTAAGAAGGTAGATAAGCGTGGCGAATTACGAGACAACCTTACGAAATGGGAAGACAGAGAATACGATAAGTATTTCACGTGCTTCTCCATAGAATGGATACTCATTTTGTCAAGGAAGCGGAAAAATCTCGGCTTACCTAATCAAAGGGTTACCACACATGTTAGCTACAAATGTTGAATCTGAGTGTCAACGAATGTCACGCCCCCCCCAAGAAATGAAATAACGTCTCTTGTCCCTCTCAAATACACGAGTAACTGTTTCTCTAAAGATCGTGAGGTCTGAGCTGCATACTTTATCCTGATAATGCCGGAGTGCGGAGTCGAAGTTAAGGAAGTTATCATCAAGCAAAGAACTTGTTGCCTCGAATCAATGTTGAACCATGAATCGGTGTCGCTCCAAACTTATTACAAGAGAACATGGCTAACTATGCTTGGTAGTACCAGCAACCTTGCACTATCTAAATTCCTGATATCGAAGTTTCTAATGCTTCAACGGTTTTGCGCCCATACTCTTTATGCTCTGAAAGACGTAAAAAGGAACGCTACAACGAATATCTTTAACAATTCATGTGCACACTAGATAGGTTTGTTTCTCAGTTGCACATTGACTGCATGTACTAACTTATCGATCACCATGTTGGTTTGGATAAAGCTTTCACCAAAAACTTGAATTAACAATTCTTACCAGTTATGCACCATTATCTTTTGAATCGCCAAAAGAGCATGATAACGGACATTTGGATCTTCATGAGTTAGTAGCCTCATCACCATTTGCTTCCCGTTTAACTGCTCTATGACTCTAAAACTGAGACGTAAAGGTGCACTCGGTAAGACAACATAAATACGTTTTGCCTCGAGGATAATGTCGAACGTACTGACCGAGATCGTGCGCTGCAACACAAAGGACGAGCGGGTCATTAGTCACTTCGAGAATCTTGACCAGAATTCTGAAATACCGATTCGACAAACGAAATCGCTATATTATTAACCGATGAGACCAGATCTCACTTTATCAGCTCGAAATTCTTTTCGTTAAAACGCTGCACGTTTTCTTTCCAAAACTTTTCCGTCTTGTGTACCGGACTCCATTGAAGACGACCAGATTTCAGTTCCGTGAGGTATTCGTCAAAGGAGCTAAAAAAATACTGTCAACAAAAACTTCTTCCACAACATAGCTCATTCGCATTTTATTCATCATTGACCCCGTCAGGTTGCAACGCATGATCATAAGTCAAGCAGAAAAAGTATTTATCACAATAACATATGTTTAGCAAAAACATGTTTAGTCAGCATAGTTTAAGCAGACTTCAAGACCAAACGGAATATGCCACCACCACAGTTAAACATATGTTCAAGGGCCGAAGACTACACCCATGCAACAATTACAAAGCAGCAGATAAAATAGATGCATCGGCATTATGATAATTAGACGATCCGTGCAATTACCTTGCTCTCTATCGATTAGTCATTCGACTAAGAAGTACCAGTGATCTTAGAAAGGCCTGTCCTGAAATGGACAAGCCCAAAACTGTACTCCTGCTCATATCCCTTGAGTCCACATGTCTAGTCCAGTCCATATACCGCGGGTTTGTTACATTCTAGTGAGTTTCGTCAAGCAAACTTTTAAGATTCAAATGTTTGAATGCAAAGTTTTACAGTACTTTGCTTTCAGGCAATTAGGTGACCCTGTAAAGCAGAGAAGAGAAGCTCTGAACGATGAAACCAGTTTAGCAACTACAGACAACATACAGTGGTTAACGCTGCTCTTCTGACACCCGAATAACGACTTATTAAGGAAATGCAAAATAACACGATCAAGGCTATTTCGTCAAACGGATTCTTACTTTTAAAATTTACCTCATATATGTTACTGTTCAGAGCGGTAATCGATCAAAACTGGCATAAATTCGCAGGGTTATGGATCGGTTTTATCGAACTATTACTAAGCCTACCCCAATTCCGAAGCCTTTATACTGTCCCCTGCAGGTATGGCTTTACGGTGTGTGTAGGTTCAGGAGGAGGTTTATGTAGTAATACAGCAAAAATCACGGATTACCGGCCCAAACAGCAGCAAATTAATTTCAGTTCTTACTGGTCTATATCAGATAAACTCATCTTTCTCCAAACAATTCAAGGCGTCATATTTCTTTGGATTTTTGAATTAATTCTCAATTCATAAGAGT